TATATATTATATATTATATATTATATATTATATATTATATATTATATATTATATATTATATATTATATATTATATATTATATATTATATATATATATATTATATATATATATATTATATATATATATATTATATATATATATATTATATATATATATATTATATATATATATATTATATATATATATATATAGATACATATATACGCCCAGCGATGAACAAAACGAAGTTGAAGGTTGGTACAAAAACAAAAAAATAAATCTCAATTGGCTGCTTCAAAAAGCAGAAGAAATTCCCAACCTGACACATAATTTTTTAAGGATAGAGAGTATACGAGAAAATTTTATAGGGAATCAAGTGGATGTTTGCAAATTACTTCTGTTTAGTCACTTTAGTGGAGAGTGCCAGAGTGGAACTGGAACACTTTCAACACTGCATTTCATTTATATCATTTCAGTATTTTTTGTATTTTTAGTCAAATCAATTGCATCTGTTAGTGTGGCTAACTCAGAACTGGGGTTTGTCACCCATGCCCTTGATGGCATGATACCCCAGTAGACAGTACGCCAGTACCGAAGTTAGCAGAGTACCCCTCTGTAGTGTAGAAACTAGAAATAATAAATATGTGTTGAACGTGACACTGTAATACTCAATAAGTTCAGGAAGCGTTTAACATGATTACTACACAAATATTCAATACTCAGAGCTGGACCGGCAGGGGGCGGGACGCGGGGGCCCTACCGTAAATTTTGGCCCACCACTGTAAATTCCTTAAAATATGCCTTGGTCCGAACAACCAAATGCAATTTTCATCACTTCACTTAAATATCAGAAGTATATCAAATAAATTTGACTCTTTTAAAGATTTGATCAATACTACAAAAATACCTTTTCGGATTATAGGATTAACCGAAACTTGGTTGAATGATAGCACGCGCAATAAAAATGATTTTAATTTAGAACAATACGAGCTCATATGTTCAAATTGAGCGGAAAAAGGGGTGTAGGTGTAGGTTTATATATTTCTAATCTAATATTTGGAATTTAAAATTCGACATGACCTATCAAAAAATCTCGAAGGTGTAATTGAAACCGTGTTTATTGAAATCATAACAAATGAAGGTAAAAATACCATTGTAGGAGTGATCTATAGACCACCGAATAACAAATTTAAAGAATTTAAAGACATAATGAATGCAATCTTAGAAAACGTTGATAAAGAAAACAAGCTTTGATACTTAATAGGCGATTTCAATATTGATTTATTAAAATCAGAATCTTGTGATTACGCGAGTCAATTTGTTGAATAACTATTCACTTCCTCTTTCCTTCCACTTATAACAAACCCAACAAAAATTATGCAACATGCTGCAACACTAATTGTAACATTTTCACAAATAGTCTCGAAAAGGTAAACATAAGTTCTAACAGGATTATTTTTAGTGACATATCAGATCACTTACCAATAGTTCATATTATACAAAGCAAATACATGATTGGAAAAAATACCTAGCATAATACTAATGATATATCATATAGAGTAATAAACAAAACCAATATCGAAAGCTTTAAAAATTCAGTTGAACATCGTTCTTGGAGTGAAATTCTTAATGAAAATAAAGACCCTGAAAAAGGCTTTAACATATTTTCTGAATCTATTATAAAAGCGTACGAGGAAAACTTCCCTGTCAAAATAATTAAAAACTCCAAAAAGATAAATAAAAACAAAAGCCCATGGATGACTAAATGCATTCTAAAATCTGTAAGAAAAAAAAAAATTATACAAGTCTTTTCTAATCAACCCAAGCGACAAAAACAAAAGTTTATACAAGAAATACAAAAATAAACTCAATCACATTATAAAAATGGCCAAGAAAATGTATTACGAGGAAGAGCTAGTGAAATATAAATGTAATACAAAAATGTTATGGAAAACGCTTAATGAAATATTAAATAAATCCAAAAATAGGACTAAATGATCAAAATCGTTCTTCAGAGCAAATAAAACTGATATTATTACTGATCCAAAAGAAATAGCAACACATTTTAATGAATATTTTACCATAGCCCACGTGCAGACCCAAGGGAACTGATAGTGGGCCTGCAAGCAAGGCCCGGTATTTTGTAAAACGCCCCTTTTCATAACACGCCCCTTTTCATAACACGCCCCATTCGCGCGTCAATTGTCAAAAAAGAACCAATGACAGCACTCAAATATTAACAAACAAACTCGCATTAAAATGTTGCGGGGTTTTCTCTGCTTATTCAGAACATAAACAATGTGTACATGGCTGTGTTTTAACTCCAAAAAAGCAAGCAACGCAGTCAGTAATTGCCAAATTTGCAAGTGCTCATTTTCAACTAAAATCGGAACAGGCAAATTAGGACAAATTTCAACAGAAAACCAGTCTCAAACTTCAAATCGTGAGGGAAGTCGTGCGACACATTAGCATTTATAATGTGTGCTTCGCTGTTGCCATTGTTATAAATAAATTGTCTCACTTATCAGATCATGTGTGCAATTCTTGTTGGCGGCGGAAAGTACGAAATTTATTTCAGTTATTTCATTTGGTAAAGAACTCCACAAAAGAAGAGAGCATTCAGAGTCCAGATTGTTTCGTTTCAAACGGCAATTTAATACCGTCTTCTGTTTTGCTCTGTCAGCAAAGCCTTGTAAATCGCAAAGTGTTTCGAATAGGCTTAAATGCAACTGCATCTCAACATCAACCAAAAGATAATTTTCTTGAGGAACATATAACGTATCAAGTCCGTTTGAAATTAATGAAACTCAAGTAAAGGTTACTATAGTTTACCCCAGTCGTAATGAGTGCTATTGCAACACGTCACGACAAGCAATCCCCATTGGCATAACGGCAAAAACATCTCTTCCTTCAAGTAAAGAATAAACAGTCTGTTCTTGTTCCATTTATAATCGAAAAAAGTGATCAATTTTCGAATTTTAAGCTTAGCGAGAGCCTTTGTGATGAATCACTTATCTAATTATAGAATCCAACAGCAAACAGCCAATCAGAATGCCGCGTTCGTGGGTGAACGCGGAAAGTACAAAATACCGGGCCTTGCTTGCAGGCCCACTATCAAGTTCCCTTGAGCCTGCTCCCTTGGGCCTGCACGCGGGCTAATTTTACCAATGTTGGACCTAACCTTGCAAGGAATATCATTAGTAACAACAATAAAAGTTTTAACGAGTATCTTACTGGAAATTACAAGTCGAGTATGTTTTTGGAGCCTATCACTGAATATGAGCTTGAAAATGAAATCAACATTATAAAACCAAACAAAAGTTGCGGTTATGATGGTATAAACGCTAGCGTCCTTAAACCTATTTCCAAAATTATTTCTAAACCATTAACACATATTTTTAATTTAACATTTCAATTAGGCATTATTCCAGATAAATTAAAGATTGCTTTAGTCACACTAATTTTTAAGGGAAATGAAGAAAAAGAAGTTAGTAATTATCGACCAATATCAGTTCTTACTCATTTCTCCAAACTGTTAGAGAAAATGATGATGTCAAGATTAACAAAATTTATAGCTAAAAACAAAATATTACGAGACATCAATATGGGTTTCGTAAAAATAGATCAACTGTACTTGCTATAATTGAGTTTGTAGATAAAATTACTAATGCAATTGAGCAAGGTAAATTCACAATTGGTGTTTTTCTTGATCTCTCGAAAGCTTTTGACACAATTAATCATAAGATTCTGATTAAGAAACTAGAACATTATGGCGTGGTGGCTGGCGTGGTGGCTGGCGTGGTGGCGTGGTGGCTGGGGGGGGCCATGGCCCCCCCAGCGATGGTTTCAAGAGGGGTGCCGAAATGCCATTTGTAAAAATGAACCTTGTCAGCCACCCGAATCCGTTTTATCTGAGAGAAAAGAAAATTGGAGAACGTAACCGGTACTGCTCACAGGCGGTATTCTTCCACGAAGATCAAACTAGGCGCAAATGGCTTTCATACTCGCTAATTAAGGATTGTCTATTCTGCCTCCCATGTCTCCTATTTTCAGACGGAACCAAGGAAATGCTTTTACGAATGCTGGGTACTCGAACTGGAAGAAGCAGTACAGTAATATCACAAAGCACGAAAAGTCCGAAAGTCACATAAATGCCAAGATTGCTCAAGTTATCTTTTTTCAAGGACGATCAATCGATTCATGCTTGAAGCAACAAGAAAAGACCGAAATGTTGCGTCGGAAGAAAGAAGTCGTTGCAAACCTCAGCCATTATGAAACACGTTGTCGACACTGTTGTACATTTGGGAAAGCAGGGACTTGCTTCCAGAGGGCATCGAGAATCGCTAATTGATGACCCAGAAGCAAATAAACGAAATTTTCTAGAGTCGCTTAATTACCTGTCAACCTACGATATAACAACTGCGAATCATCTAGACTAGGTTAGAAATCAACAAGCTATATCGAGAAGAAAGGGCGGGAAAAAAGGTGCCAAAGGACGGGGTTCGAAACTAACTTTCCTCAGCAACGATACGCAGAATAATGTGATTAAAATTATTGGAAGATAAATCGCCTCGCAAATTGTCAAAGAAATCGCTAATTGCAGAGCATGGGCATTAATAGCCGACACCACACCGGATGTCAGTCACCACGAGCAGCTTAGTATTTGTGCAAGGATCGTTAATCGTAATGGCAAATGCTCCGAGCACCTTTTGTCTTGCAAAAGAGCTTCCGGTACAAGAGCAATGGAACTATACAACCTAATCTCAGAAACACTTGTCTCGAAAGGTGTGTCGTTTGGTAAACTCGTAGCACAAACATACGACGGCGCTTCGAATATGAGCGGCTGCTACAACGGCTTGCAAGCGATCATCAAGGAGAAAGTTGGAAAGCATGTTTCTTGTTTTGTCCGACTCTGCAAGTGTTGATGTTCAAGTAATAAGTTTCTTCAATGACCTCGAAGCCTTGTACGTTCTCTTTAGCAAGACACAAAGAATCCATGATTTGTTCGAAGCTGTCCAACTGGAAGAGAACCTGAAAGTCCTTTCCCTAAAGAGACTTAATACTGTTCGTTGGCATTCACGCGATCTAAAGGTCCTTCTCTCTCGTTATGACTGCATTTTAAGTGTCCTGGAAACCGTTGCGTTGGACAGTTTAATTGATGGAAACCCACGAAAAACGAGCATTGGCTTATTGAAGCAGATTCAAACAAAGCAGTTTCTGGCTACCGCGTACCTCTTTCGAGAAATATTTGCATCCGCTGGTCCGCTAAGCCGATATTTACAACGCGTTGATGTTGATTTTGGAAAAGCCCTGGGTATGGTCGAAAGCGCGATTGACGAGCTCAATGAATTGTGTAAAGAACCGGAGCTGATTATCAGATACGTCGAGCAAAAACACAACTCCCCCAGCGTGATCTGGCAACAACCAAGAATCAGACGTCGAAGACGAATCGATGATGAAAATGCCGAAGGCGAACCTGCGGAAACACCAGAAGATCACTGGAAACGTAACACATTTTACGTTTCTGTGGACACAATCTTAAATTCATTGAAGAATCGGTTTGAGAAAAACCAACCCTTGCTCCAAGCTTTTTCGTTGTTTGCCCCAAGCCGTTTCCCACAACTTGTGAAGAATTTCAAAACCGCACATGATCTTCAAGCGTGCCTTAACACCTTTTGTGAAACGTACAGTATAGATGCGTTTAGATGTGCTGACGAATTG